AGTAAAATAAAAAAAAAATTTAAGAAATACGCCCGGAATTGCGTGAGATAATACCATCCGACTAAATTTTTTTTTTTGTTGCAATATTTATGATCGCCAGTGTATAAAGGTTATGTATTGTAAGATTTTATTGCAGTTTTTATTTTTATTTTTTTTTAGTTAAAACTATTCTAATTATAATGTTTTTTGGAAATGTGCGAGTTCATATATAACTTTAAAATAATTAAAGACTTGATCATTCTATTTGTCATTCTGCCTCTCATTTCTTTATGCCTCATGCTTTTCAGTAAAGATAGACATACCTTCTCATGGGATTTTTATCTGACAAATTTTACAAGCAGTTGCTGTGAATCTTGAGAAGACGATGGGTCATTTGTATCTGTCGACGTGGGTGTGATCATTGTAATGGTTCCACCGTTTAAATAATCGGAATAGTAAATATGATCCACTGTATTGATATATGTGGAATAAAATGTATCAGATTATGGTATTTTATATCACTACATTTGGATAATTTTTATCTGTAATTTGGATAGTCAAAATTCTCACATTTCGTTCAAACCGTACATCTCAAAGTCCTTAGAAGATTGTTATGCATAATTATCGTGCCGTTTAAAGTTGCAACTGCATAAATTAGCCCCTGAAATTATTTCTAGCTAATTTAGGCAGATGCAACATCGGGCACAACATAATAAATAGATTCTATTTAATAAATATTATCCGCCATTCCACTGACAAGTTTTATTATTCCAAAATTTTGTAAGAGGTGTGGAACTTGATATTGCTTAATAAATCACATACGGTTATACAAATGCATACTTGTTTTTATTTTACAATAAGCAATTAATGCAATTAATGCGTGGCACGTTTGAAGTAACAAACAATTTATTAGTGATACATTATACCTGTTTATGCATACTTTGTTACACATTCTAGAAATTTGATTTTACATATTTATATGGATGCTATCGTATTTCAATGTTCTGAACTAATAAATCACTACATATTTGAAGACCAACCGGTCACTATTTTGTCCACTTTCCTTCAACTTTTATCAAACTATGCCGTCTTCTCTTGAAAAATCACCATACAGATACCGATCTTCATATTCTTCATACTTTACCCCGAAAATCGTTAGAAATCTTTTATTCATATCATTTACCCTTTTATTGATCATTTATTTTTACAATATTCAAACTGACATAATAATAAGTTCTCCAATATATCAAACAAGTAATAATAACAACGTTATAGTAATTGTCGATGGAGAACAACAGGCAAAAGCTTTACAACCGATTTATTGTAATTTATCAAAAAAGTCGAGAGATACATTTATTCATGTTGTAGTTACTGGTAAAAGACGTGGAATTTGTGGAGAAGAGTTGAAAAAAATGAATTCCAAATCACCTGGATGTCGTGTATCCGTACACGACTTGGGTATTCGAAACAGTTCACCAAACGATGAAAATGTTATATTTATGGAAACAACTCACGCGATAAATAAAATTAGACCGGTTGTATTGATTTATATAAAAAATTTAAATGATAACGTAATGCGTGGAATTGACGCTGCTGCAATAGCAATGTCCAGTGTTAATAATAAATTCACAAAGATTGCAATACCTATCGAATATATGAACAACACAATGTTCATTGCTGATTTGCCAATTGAAGCTATTAAACGTAAGTATTTGAATAGTTATTTCTATTTATCTAGCAATTTATTTATTTATTTATTTATGATATCTTTTTTATTTCTCTGATATTATTTACTTATATATTCATGTTCATATCTCTCGTATACATTTTAGAATGGAATACGCCAAAATTTCATGTTCATGTAATTACACAAGATCGTCCAGCTTCTTTAAAACGTCTTGTAAGCTCACTTGATTCATCCATTTATCTTGGTGACAACGTACCTCTCACCATAAATATTGATGAGAGTGCTGACCCAGATACAATTGAATATTCCCATACTGTTGAATGGCGGTCTGGCAAAAAGAATATTCTACGTCGTACAGTTCAAGGTGGTTTGGTTGCAAACATTGTGGAATCTTTTTATCCGACTGATAACAATGATTATGGCTTCATATTTGAAGATGATATTGAAGTTTCTCCATTTTTTTATATATGGGCTAAATACACCGTTTTAAAATATAGATACGGTCCTGATCGAATTTTAAGCAATAGAATGTTTGGTGTTAGCCTTTACAATCAAAAACTCATAGAATTAACTTTACCTAGGCATAAAAAATTTAATGCTGCTCTTGTTCTAGATCCTACAAAATATAATAGACGAAGTCCATATCTTTGTCAAGTACCATCTAGTTGGGGTTCTTTAGTATTCCCAGAAATATGGCGTGAATTTAATCATTATATAACTGCTCGATTAAAAGATGTTAAAGGTCCTAATTTACAAGATATTAATATTCCTGAAAGTCGTTCAAATGGGTGGCATAATTCTTGGAAACGTTTTTTCATTGAACTTATTTATCTTAGAGGTTATGTGATGCTTTACCCAAATTATATTAATTATGTCAGCTTTTCTAGTAATCATCATGAAACAGGTGTACACGTTCATAAAAAACACCGTAAAGGCTTTTTATTACCACTCATGAAAAATGATATTATATCTGAAGGACTACCAGGTGGAGTTTTACCCGATTATAGAAATTTACCAACTTTGGATCTTTTTGGAAGAGTTGTATCATTTCATAAACTTGTGGAACGTGGACATAATCTACATAGAGATATTTCACTATGTCCTCCTAACGATTCTGCAACACTCACTTATGATCCTAAAGATCTATTATGCGTACATAAAATAAATAATTCAAATAATCAAAAAAAATCCAAACGAAAAAAGTCAAAGAAATCGAAGAAATCAAAGAAATCAAAGAAATCAAAGAAATCAAAAAATTTAAAGAACAGAATAAACATAATTAAACAAAATAATGAAACTATCAGTGCTGGAACTATCGAAATTAAACAAATCAAGCAAGACAACGAAAATATTAATAATGAACAAAGACTTAATGCAAAACCGATCTTAAATAAGGCCAATCCCAATCCAAAGTTAGCTCATCAGGATTCTAAGTTGGATATCAATGATGAACAAAGACCCACTGCAAACCCCATCTTAAAAAAGACTAATTCCAATCAAAATTTAGTTCATCAGGATTCTAAGTTGGATATCAATGATGAACAAAGACCTACTGCAAAACCTGATTCAAAGTTGGATATTAATTATGAACAAAGACCTACTGCAAAACCGATCTTAAAAAAGAATAATCCCGATCAAATGTTAGCTCATCATGATTCTAAGTTTGAGATTAATGATGAACAAAGACCTACTAAAAAGCCGATCTTAAAAAAGACTAATCCAAATCCAAAGTTATCTCATCATGATTCTAAATTGGACAAGTCTTAACTAAGATAGTGATAGATCATTGGCGTATTTCATTTTTTCATTTTTTTTTCTTAAGTTGCAAATTAACTATAAATGTGAATGTACTCTTTTCTTAATTGATGATTTTATGTATGATAAATGGCTGGTTGACAGTTACGTCAAACTTCAGTTAGAGTAAACAAATGTACATTTAGGTAGTAATGTAGATAATATTAATTTAAATTAGGAGTATTTAGTAACATTTTATATAAAGAATAAATTTAAATAAAAAATTTTAAAATCTAATATATTTGTGAATTCGTAATATACCTGCAAGTTTTTTTTCTCAATCACTACTCATAACATGCGTTGATTGATTCATTTTTAAGGTGAACTGAGCATATCTGCACAATCTAAAAAATATAAAAACAAGATAGTTGTGAGTAGGGATGGGTTCGGCCAGGTCATGACCGGTCAGAGGCCCGATCAAAATTATTACCGATGTCAATTTTCTGACTAATAAATAATAATAATTGTAGCATAAGCTTATAAAATCATATTGGCAGATCTGCATATACATGTCGTAGAACTAATTACGGCTGTGTTGAAGCATTTAGGCATCGGTTTTTAGGTGAAAATAAAGCTGCAAGCCATAATTTACGCCGCAATTAGTGACAAAAACTGAGATCTAAAATATATGCCATAACCCAAATTACTTGCCGCAACAGGAGGCAATGTTGATGTTACACGATTGATTTTACAACTGTCCTGCATTGTTTAATAAGATCCTTGATTTCATTTGTTTTTAAAAAATCTGATGCAATTAAATTAATTGCATATGTGCCACAGCGTATATCTAATATGAAATTAAATTTTTCATTAATTAGTTGTCTTGCCCACCTCATGTTAGATCCATAATCTGTAACAACAGCAGCAAACTTTTCAACTCCAATTTCATTTAAAACATTATTTATCTCCTCAGCTAAAAAATTTCAGTTGTAGATTGCATAGAATAATTTTTAATTTGCAGCAAATGTTCTCTATGATTAAGAGTTGTAATAATATAATTGTAAAAGGATGAACCTGATGGAGTAGTCCATCTGTCAAGTGCTAAAAATTTAATAATTAATACATTTTTAATTAGTATTTAAAATTATGTAAAAAAAAAAAACTATATATGTACTTAATGTTAGAGTTTTTTCAGATTCTAATTCATTATTGATTGTTTTTTCAACTTTAGCAATTTCTTCATCAAGAATGCATTCAGAAAGAGTAAATCAGAATAGAAAATTATATTTATTATTTAATGTTTTAAATATATCAATAATGAATGGATTATTGATAGTTTAAAAGAGAAATTCAGTACATGTTCAAGCCTTTAGAATAGATCGATCTATTTGCCACTGCCAGTCTTCAGAAATTATCTCTGAATTTAATTGATTTAAATTTAAATTATTATCAATTGTGCATTGTTATTTAATTATTTTTTTATCTAATAATAAATTATTTTGACAGAATTTTTTTATATCTTGTGGAACATTTTGGTATTCTCATGTTAAATATTACTTAAGTATTTGTGACTTGCCATGAGTCTAATTATATGAACAATGCTTATGACTTGCTGCATAGTGCCCATCACCTAAATATTCTTCTATATTAACATAATTCCAGACTTGGTCTGGTTTAGACCCATTATGACATCTCTTCTTAGTTTGATTTAAAATATGAACTTCTTCTGATAAAAAATTTTAATCATCAGAAATACTACTAAATCTTTGAAAAGGCTCATCAAAAAGGTTCATCACTTGGTAATTATTGAATAGGAAGTTAGAAGTCAAAGATTTGTATATCAGAATGAGAAATAAGTATAATGAACTGATTAATATTATAGTTTAATTCATATGTTTTAAATATAAAAAGTTGTTCATAATTACTAATATCATTAAACATATTCATTATAAAGTTCCTAAAAAATTTTTTATTTTTGTTTTACTATATTGTTTAGCTATTACCATAATATGTTAATAATAATTATAATTCCTATTTTGGAAACTGGATATTTATACAATTATCTAAATTATAACATATTACATATTTGATAATAATTACAATATTAAATAATATTACACATCTGATAATAATTATGACATATTTGGGATTATATGATTTTGTTATAACTATAATCATAACTTGCCAAATGCTGTATAATTTATTAGAATAATTCATCTGCACCTCTAGTCTTAATTATTATCTAAGTATTTTTTCTCACAACTATTAGATTATACCTACTATTTATCTATATCTATCCTTTTTAAATTCTTTCCAATAAACAATAATACATTAAATACTAATTTGACAATAAAGAATAATGAACTAGATAACACTTATTTCTAACTATTAAGAACTATTTTGGATGGTTATAATGAAACTACTATAGCTAAACAATACTATAATAATATCTAATTCAATACCTGTTATAATAATTTTCTATTTTACAACTACATATTATTGCTTCCTTATTCTTAAACTATTATTATCTTTTTATAATATATTTACAGCTTTGGTGACTTATCTAATAACTTATATGACTATATATTAACTATCTCTATTAAGAATAATTATAGCAAAGTTCATGTCTACTTTTTATCAGAATCCAAACCTTTACCTAATCATTTTATCTTACCAGTTCAAGTTATTTAATATTGTCCAAATATCTAACTAAAATTAAATATATTAACATTAGTCTTTTCTATACCAATATCCTTAAATCATCAGTTTTATATTAAACCTGAGACAGACTTACTACCTCAACAAACAATATATCATACACAAGTCTTAATTATATTATTATTATCATTATA